CCCCAAAACCCCAAAACCCCAAAACCCCAAAACCCCTTTAACTTCCAAAATTTTGAAATTTAATTATTTCAAATATGAATCAGCACATTAAGGAATATAGTACGTACTCAAGTTGGTTTGGGTGTCTCATTGGCATGAATAAACTTCAAATTTCAGCATTAAATTGTGGAAATAAGTGTATATCTTTAAAATAGACCAAGCCGAGGAATTATTACCCTCAGGTCAGAAAGAATTTATAACAGAGCTATTTGAGTCATTTGAAAAATACTCAAATCCAAATAACGAGTACTTCCCAGAAACCCTAAGTTTTCTCAGCGAAAACTGCTTCCTAGACCCTCTAGTTTGCTCATTACGTGCAATCTTGAGCCAGGGGTATATATCTTTTCCAGAATTTGTTCAATACAACCGCGGTACGGAACTGTTTTATTTACTCTGTCAAACTCTGGCACCAACACTGACTGCGAAGCCTAACTGATAATCTAGAAAAAGGGGAAACTAGAAAGGCAGTTTTTGAACAATTCACTCAAAGGTATATAAAATTCCTAACCACATAGTTTCCTATCAATCATATATGGTGTAGTGTCAAAAACAATGGATGACAAAATTAGTGCTTACCAAGGTAAATCCCAACTCATCAGGAATAGGTGCCAGATACTCCTCTGAGCCGACTGATCGTGACCAAACGAGGCACACCAAGTCCTTGTCCACCGGCCAAGGCGAGACTTATCGCCTTGATGAGGCGACAAGATCTACCATGGACCAAGAGACTAATCTAAATTTGATTAATAATCCTGATGCTAAGCCAGAAGTTCCCCTCAAGCAGAATCATATCTCCTCAGTTGGCTATACGAACAGAGTGAACACCTTATGAACTTCTGATGAAAAGGAAATTGAGGAGAATGGGCCTCTCAAGCAAAACTACAGAGCAATCAATGCTATCACCCCAAGGAAAGAAGATTTAATTCAGGCTATCTTAGAACATTCTAGGTAAGCCCAAGTTTAATCTCTAGAAGCCAATTCGTTCCAGGAGAGCATAGCAGATCTGGGCACCTCAAAAGGACTCAGACAGCCAGGAATTCATCAATGGTCGAATTTTCCAAGTCAAGTGGGAAATTTCTAAGAAATTCATCTAAAAAGAAGATTAATCAAAAACGGAACTCAGTCTTCAGGAAGAAAGGCTATGGGCCAGACAAGTTTACTTCAAGAGGCTTTACCATTCCAACTATGATGCATCTTCAAGAGTCCCAGAGACTCCAGGATGATTCTAGAGTTGAGAAGAAGGCCAGGCACATCTGCAACAGGTATGGTCCTGCCTGTTACGAGTCTACTTCAAACACCAGAGAAAATGTAGGAGAGTACTCATATGGGAAAGGTGGGTCAACTTTTGGTAAATCAATCAAAAAGTGCAAGTTTGATGAAAATAAAGAAATGATTTACTCCCCTGGCCCTGGAAGGTATGAATCCCACGCACGTGAGAATTCTGCTGTATATAGCTTTGGAAAGCAGAAGAAGGACATCTCATTTGCTAAATTCTCTAGTAGAGACATCCCATCACCAGGGAAATACAAAGTTAAAAGAGATTTTCTTAGCAAAGTATTTAAAAGACATGCTACTTAAATTATTACCAATATTACTAATCAAGTAAGGGGTTTTGGGGTTTTGGGGTTTTGGGGTTTTGGGG